GAGGACTGCTGTACAGCTACTGTACGGTTGGAAGTGATGGAAAGCAACCACTTCTTCATCATCGTCTTTCGTCTAAAATGGTCGGCAGGCAAGCAGGCCAAGTGAAAGTGTAAATAAGGATGGTGTTATTTGTGTTCTTGATGATGATGCTATTAGCTGAGGACGACACAGTTCTACAGGCACACTGTGCCGCACACCGTACACACTTCTGTCTCGTGTGGCCTTCGTTTTCGCGAGGTGTAGCAGTGGCAATGGCGCCTGGTCAGCAGCAGCCGCAACCTCTTTCTTCACAATTCATTTCCCTCTTTTCTCTTTTTTTCGCCTAGGCTAATTATTCGCACAGCCCTTCTTCTTTTTCTTCCNGCAGCCGCAACCTCTTTCTTCACAATTCATTTCCCTCTTTTCTCTTTTTTTCGCCTAGGCTAATTATTATTCGCACAGCCCTTCTTCTTTTTCTTCTTCTTCTGTGCGCAATACAGCCTGAACAAAAAGCTGGTTTGCTAGTTAGCCAGCTAATAACTTGAAAGAGTACTCTTTTAGCAGCAGAAAGGTTCGAGAGCGCGCGATTATCAGCACCAGTCGATCGGACAGTGCATGTAGTTGCTGCTGCTGCTGAAGTGTATGAACAGAGCTGTTCTACTGCAGCAGTCTGTCTGCCATCCTGATTACCTCACAGCACCGCCACCACCCCACCATTGTACACTGCCTTTGCTGGTGATGGTGATGGTGATGATCGGTTTGCTGACGAAACAGCACTCACCGCTGCCGGCCGGTTGTAGTCTTTGCCTGCCGTCAAGTCTTCTCTTCCTTCCTTCCTATCTGCTTTCTTGCTTACTTCTTTCTTTCTTTTCGCGCCCATCGATGCTTCTGCACAGTGCTGTCTGTGTGTTGCTCAATGATCGGCACCGATTGCACCTGCTGCTACCTTCACCTTTAATCTAGCTGCCAAGTCTCTTCAGCTCTTGGCTTAGCACAGCTTTCACTACCACCAGAGGTGCACTCGAGCTGCAATCAGCTTAATGAGCAGTCTTTTGCTTTTGCTTTTTAGCTGCAACAGCTCATTTTAGTTTAGCTTTGCAGAAGACAGCTTGGTGGAGCTTTGATTGTTTCACTTTTGCCAAAGCTGCTGTAAAAGTTGGGGTGGTAGGGTTAATCTTTTTATTGCATTTTGTTGCTGCATGAAAATTGCCAATTCGAAATGGTTGTTCAAAATATTTTTTCTAAACTTCATCCCCTGTCAGCCTTACTGACCGACTATTACTCTTTTAGCACTCTTTTCTTTTCTTTTTTTTATTTTCACTCACTTTTTCACTCTCTTCTCTTTTTCACCCTTCTGCCCGGCGTCTGCAGTAGCAACGGCGGTTNCCTTACTGACCGACTATTACTCTTTTAGCACTCTTTCCTTTTCTTTTTTTCTGATTTTCACTCACTCTTTCGTTCTCTTCCCTTTTCACCCTTCTGCCCGGCGTCTGCAGTAGCAGCAGCGGCAGCAGCAAGTGGTCGGCCTTGAAGAAGTAGCTCTTCGAGAAATAGTAGCACTGCTATTGCCGATGGCAATGGTTGTAAAGTACTTGTGAAAGTTGGCGCTCTGGGTGGTGGTGGTGGTGGTGGCCACATGTTCAGCTCTCCGGTGCCTCTCTTTCTCCTCGCTCTCCTTCTATTGACTAGTGATTCTGTGCTGCTTCTGCTGTCAGCGCCGATGATGCCGTGGCAGTGAATACTTGGCACAGTTTTCAAACATGCCACTTCTCAGTCACTCACTCAGTCACNAGCAGCAAGTGGTCGGCCTTGAAGAAGTAGCTCTTCGAGAAATAGTAGCACTGCTATTGCCGATGGCAATGGTTGTAAAGTACTTGTGAAAGTTGGCGCTCTGGGTGGTGGTGGTGGTGGTGGCCACATGTTCAGCTCTCCGGTGCCTCTCTTTCTCCTCGCTCTCCTTCTATTGACTAGTGATTCTGTGCTGCTTCTGCTGTCAGCGCCGATGATGCCGTGGCAGTGAATACTTGGCAGCTTACTCAAACATGCCACTTCTCAGTCACTCACTCAGTCACTCAGTCAGTCAGGTGTCACACACACTCTCAGTTTACTGATCATCAGCGATCATCAGCAGCAGCAGTGACATCCTCTTCCACGTCTTCTCCTTCCTTCCTTCTGCTGTCAACGCAATGCAAGTGTCTTGCTGCTGCTGTTGCTGCTGCCCACTTATCAGCTGCAGCCAGTTTAGTCTGCTTGCTTTATCATCATCTCCTTTCCTTTTCTGCTCTCTGTCACTCTGCGAGCATGTCATTATGCACATGTTGGGTTACGTACAAGCCCGTCTATCCATCCATCCATCCACTCGCCTAATGTCTCTCGCAGCAAAAGGTGTCCATGTTCAATCAATGCTCAGCCTCTGTCTGTTTGTGTGCTCTTTGCGGTCTCAGTTGGTCTCTTGTACTCAACTACTGCTGTAGAGGCAGCAGTGCCTGTGCACTTATCAGCAGCGTAGAACTGGCTGAATGGCAATTAGTGATTTTGGAGCTGCTGTACACACAGTTGTTGTTTTTCAGTCAGAGAGCGGTACAGCGGGGTGTGTGTCTTGCAGCCGACATGTTTTATGTCACTGCACATTTTGTTGCTCCGTTGTAAGCTGTGTGTGTACTCAATCGCTTTGCTTGTTTCTACTTCTTCTTTTTCTTTTTCTTCTTTGACTTGTCGACTAAAAGTGTGAGAGAGAAAGAGAGAGAGAGAGAGATTTGCTGCTGTCCGCACAGTATTGCGTTGCTGTACACGGTACACGCGGGGTTCAGTTAGCACACGCAAATTCTTTGCGCGATTTCAGTCAGGGCGAGGACTTTAGGTCGAACAGCAGCAGCAGCAGGTACAGAGAGAAATCAATTTGGCTTTGCTTGGAAGGGGATGTGAGGGAGAGGGGAGGGCAATGGCCAGTGCCAGTGGCTCACTCGCAAAGAAGAAGGGGCTCTAAGACTGAAGAATGAGAGGGAGAAGGAATGAGAGAAAGAATGGCTGAAACACTACTGCTGACAATAGAGCTGAGATTGCTGCTGCTGCTTGGCATTGATTCGAACGGAAAGGCAAGGCTTCGGCGGCAGTGATCCTCAGCGTGTGTGTGGGTGCCCTATTTCGGGCGCCACACTGAACACACACACACACACACACACTAGCATTTGGCCTACCCGGTGCTGCTGCTGTTGCCTGTTTGCCTGCTTGTCCTGACTGCTCAATGCTCGAAGCGGAAACATTGACAAGAACTGCCAGGCAGCCAACAAGCTCAGCTCACCTCCTTTGCTGTTTGTGTGTGATTTGGTCTTTTCATGATTTCATTTTCCTCTCCCACTTTTGGCCTACTCTTCAGGCTTCAGCTTTACTTTAGACATTGCTTTCCCTTACTGTGTTCACTAACCTCATCACTCACCAACTGCCTCTGTTTGCAACTCTCACTGACTTTTCACTTTTCCTTCTTCTCCTCCTTTTCCTTACCACAGTGGTTCCTCAAAGACTTCACCAGCAGCAGCAGCAGCACCGACTGCCGCGAGCCTAACCTCGAACATCAGCAAAACATTACTGCAAAACAAAAAGTAGTTCAACATAATTTTTGAGTGAAAAAGTCAACCACAAAGTGCTGGGATCAAGTACTGCTGCAGCCATCTGAGCCATCTGAGCAATGTCCACCACCACCACGGCGACCATTATCAATCCGATGATCAGCAAACAGCAGCAGCAGCAGACGATCAAGCAGGAGGTTCTGTCCGACCTCGAGATCATCAAGTCGGAGGATGAGTCTTCGGTGGAGGTAGCACTTAATGGCAATGGACTTGGAGGCGGTGGAAACGGAAGTTCATCCAACGGAATTGGCGCCGTTGCTGCGGCAGCGGCCGCTGCAGCCGCCGCCTCAGGTGGCAAGTGCATCCTCTACATCAGCAGCTCTTCGGGCGGCAATTTGACCGTCTGCAAGACCACCACCACTCCCAACTCCTCCTCATCGTCGACCACCTCAGAGGAGTCGCTGGACGTGAAGAATGGCCACAACTACAGCAGCAATAAGGCGGCGGCGAATAATACCGGAAACGGTCATCACAATAATAATAATCACCACAATCATCACCCTCATAACTCTCACAACAACCACCAAGTAAATACCTCAGCGGGCAGCCTGCAAAGGCAGCAGCAACATCATCTCAACAGTACCGTCACCACAACTGCCAATAGTAATAATAATAGACCATTGGGGAAGAGGATAGACTTTGCCAAGCAGCAACAGCAGCAGCAGCTTCATCATGGCAGCAATAACAATCTTGTGAGTAAAAATAGAGGAGCTTCGGATAATTAAACTTCAGTAGTTGCCATTTTAGCATCACCATATTAAAAACTTCGAACCTAATTTTATTTCTGGTCTTTTTTCCTCTTCCTCAGGATCTCTACAGCGCACCGGGCAGCCTGGAGCAGTCGCCCTCCTCCTCGCCGCTCAGCTTCAACGCCGAGTCGTCGAACCACCACCAACACCCACAGGACATGTTCTGCTCAAGTACGGTCGGCGGCGATGGAAGTGGCGGTCAGCAGCACCACCTGCTGGACACCACCACCGGCAGTGACCACTCCTCCTCGGTGGGCGGTGGTGGTGGTGGTGGGATGAAGGGCTCGGCGACGGCGGCCACTTCTCGCGGCGACGGCTCTCCAAAGCGACTCTGCCTGGTCTGCGGCGACACTGCCTCTGGCTTTCACTACGGCGTGGCCAGCTGTGAGGCCTGCAAAGCCTTCTTCAAGCGCACCATTCAGGGTAAAAGTTTTATCTGAAGAGTCTTTGATTTCTTTATTCTAATCTATATCACCCTCCAGGCAACATCGAGTACACCTGTCCGGCGACCAACAACTGCGAGATCAACAAGCGCCGGCGAAAGGCCTGTCAGGCGTGTCGTTTTCAGAAGTGCCTGCGCATGGGCATGCTCAAGGAGGGCGTCAGGCTGGATCGGGTGAGGGGAGGGCGGCAGAAGTACAGACGCACCTCGGAGGCGCCCTACGGTCATGTCGGCGGTGGAGGCGGTGGCGGGCATGGAGGCGGAGGTTCAAATGGATGTGGGGTGAACGGATTTGGACTGAAGAAGGCCAATATTGATGGTACGGTTGAGGAGAATTAGGAGGAGAACGTTTGCTAATTTTGTTTTCAATATTTTTTTATCTACAGACAATCGCATCGTCGCAGCGCTGATCAGCTGCGAGCCGGAGGCGATCGTCCTCAACAGCAGCCTGATGTCCAGCCCCAGCTCCAGCTCGGGCGGCAGCTTCGCCTCTGTGAGCAGCAGCCAGTACAAGAACCTCTCCATTCTGAGCGAACTGGTGGACAAGGAGCTGGTGGCGACGATCGGCTGGGCGAAGCAGATTCCCAGCTTCAGCGAGCTGACGCTCAACGATCAGATGCGCCTGCTGCAGTCCACCTGGGCGGAGATACTTGCCCTCTCGCTTGCTTTCAGGTAGGCATTTGAACTGAAGTTTTTAGATTTGCTAAAATCTAATTATCACCTCCTTTTTCAGATCTCACCAGTACAGCTCGCCGCCGAACACGCCCGCCGGCCTCAGTCCGAACAACGCCAGCTCCACGACGACGCCCATCTTCAACAAGCTCGTCTTCGCCACGGACTACATTCTGGACGACCAGGCGGCGACGCAGTGCAACGCCGAGGCCTTCTTCAGTCAGATGATCGCCCTCATCGGCCGCCTGCACCAGATGAAGATCGCCAAGGAGGAGTACCTGCTGATGAAGGCCATCATCCTCACCAATGCTGGTCAGTGCTTAGAATGCATTTTATTTATTGTCATTTTAAATCTAACCTTTGTTCTCCATATTTACCAGATATTCCCCTGGAGAACTACGAGCGCGTGGCAAAACTGCGCGAAACGCTGGTGCACGCCCTGCAGGAGACGGTGAGCGCTCTACGGCCCAGTGGGGCGGTGGTCGGCCACCTCAGTCAGCTCTTCCTCTGCCTGCCACTGCTCCGTCAGCTGGACGCCGTCACGCGCAGTCTCTGGCTGACAGTGCTCAAGGAGGGCANAGCGCGTGGCAAAACTGCGCGAAACGCTGGTGCACGCCCTGCAGGAGACGGTGAGCGCTCTACGGCCCAGTGGGGCGGTGGTCGGCCACCTCAGTCAGCTCTTCCTCTGCCTGCCACTGCTCCGTCAGCTGGACGCCGTCACGCGCAGTCTCTGGCTGACAGTGCTCAAGGAGGGCAGTGTGCCCATGAATAAGCTCTTCATTGAGATGCTCGAGACGAGGGTGCTCGCGTAGGAGAAGAAATGATGATGATCACAGTGACGGGGATGATGAAACTACTACAACAATTACTACTACTCCTGAAAGATGCTATCGAACTGACACACTGCTGATCACTACTGATGGTGGTGATGATCAGATCTGGTGAAGTCACCGCCCGCCCGCCCCCGCCAGATGCCAATTGGTTTTAGTTGGTAGCCAGTCAGTACCGGAACCAGTGCTTGACTGTAGTTGAATCCAGTGGTTTGGCCAGAAGATTTTATGCTTTGTTTTTTGGTAGACTGGTGGTCACTGGTTTTTGGGTGGCGGTGGCGGAAGTTATTGTAGGCAAAGTAGGCAGACCAGCTGACTGCGCAGGTATCTGGAAGTTTGAATTTGGGACTCGACAGCTACACTTTTACGTTGATCCAGCGTTGCTCACCACTTTTTCTTCTTCTTCTTCAAATCACATCACCTCATCTCATCTTCCACTTTTTTTTCTCCTTTCTTCATTTCTTCGTTTCTCTTTCACCACCTGAACATGCCTCTAATTCTAATGATGAAAAAACTGTAATCTTTGATAACAAAAGCTCACAAAGGAAGTGCCCCCTTTCCCTCATACACAATGATCACCACCTCCTCCCGACTATTGCTGCCCTGCCCATTCTTGGATCACTGCTCTCTATTTTTTCGTTTCGTTTCTCTTTCCTGTACAAAGTGTAGAAATCTTCGTTTACCGTCTGCAAAATGATACAAAGTTCTTACTACTATTTCTCTATATTTTGTTATTTTATCCCCACTAAACTTTATTCGACACACCTTCACACACACACACTCCCTAGGCACTTTCTTCTATTTTCCCCCCTCTTCTTCCTCGTCACAAGCATCTTTTAGTAGAAGTTCCAACAACACCGCCACCACCACAACCCCGACATTGACTCGCATCTTCTTGTTCTTTTTCTTCATTTTTTCGTTAGACCTCTTTTCTTCCTTTGTTGTCCTTATTATTTTTTTGTTTAAATTTTTTAGTATTTTAATTTATAAGAGATTCCTTATTGATGACGATGGTCACTCATTCATTCATTCATTCAACAAGATGTTGTATTTATTTTTGCCCTGTTTTTGTCCCCACTTCTACACACTGCAAAAGACGGCGATAAAATGACTCTGTGCAGCTGACCACCCCCGCCCCAATTTCCCCCGCTCTTATCACTGTTCGTTTTGCTTTCTCAACCAGTCTGATGCCTACCTGATGATCCAAGCACACACACGCCCCCAGAATGAACTGTACTGTTCTGATGACACATTCGTGTAGATGATCGACACTAGAGTCACCACACACACACACTAGAAAGTGAGGCTTCAGTTGAGTGTTTGAGACAGATGTTGAGTGTTTGAGTGTTTGCCACATTGTCAGCTTTTGTTCGGTCATCATCAGATTAGATAAGGCCCCTCTTGATCATTCATCGTTCTTCCAGTGACCTCAGCACACCACCATCCATCTCTCTTTATCACATAATCTCTGTGCTTCTCACTCCAATCAACGATTGTGTTCAATACACACACTACCAATTGATTTGTTGTACAACTCCTCCTCTTCCTCAACAACAACAACTCCTGACTCAGCCTCACTAGTTATCATCATCATCATCTTCTTCTTCATCACCTTCACTACCATCAATGTCATTCTTCAAGTACAAACACACAAGCACACAACTACTTCAGCCAAATTGCCTGAAACTTCTTTTTTCTTCGTCAGCACAACTAGCCACTCTCTCTCCCTCTCTTCGAATACAATCGAGTACAAGATCATTACATGATACTACCGAAAACTACCGAGTACTGTCAGTAAAGAGTTTCAATTTACACACACTCACTCACTCACATCATTCAAGTAGGTAATGGATAAAAAAAGCAGTCAGTTGTAAACAGCCTACCTGATTCTTACGTACACACTCACATTCAGACACTCACTTTCACCAACAGCTACCGGTACCTTTTTCTTTCCTCTTCTCTCTCCATACTACGTCGAACTTATATTATCTCCTGTTGAAGCGACTGTAAAAATTTATTTTTCTATTTCTCTGATAACTACCACTACCGCTCCACCATTACACGATGATGTTACTACCTTTGAGTTATTGCCAGTACTACTGATTCTGTTTACCCTATGTTTATCTATGTTTCAAACTGCATTGTACAACCACAACAACAACACTGTAGCAACTTCCGAGACACTTTGTTGCTTCCTCTTTCTTTTTCTCTATCGTTTCCTCCTTTTCTTGTTCTTCTTGTCTAGAGCACATCTCTTTCTTCTCTTCTCAACCTTTACAATAAACAAGCACAGCCAGTGAGAGAGCGATACCTTTAGTCGATAACTGAGCACCAAAACAAACTGCCGGATAACCCGATTGTCTCGGAGTGAACAATCAACTCGGATTTGGCCAACTGTCACTGTCAGATGATCAATCGTTGTTTGTCTGTGTCTGTGTCTGTGAGCCTGATTGACTGCTCTGTGTGCAATATCTGGGTTATCTACCTGCCATTTTTTGTTGTGGAACACTCAATAATTTAGGTGGCTTTGACAACGGACACAAAGAAACAACCCTTTCTCGGTCACCAGAGTGGTCTTGATCACTGTGGAAATAAACAGTTTATTGGAAGTGCAACCAGAAATAGAAATGGAAGAAATGCACTGTTCAACGATTCTCCTGGGCGAGTTGTTTGCAGAGTTGGACAACTATCAAGTAATGACTTGTAGATGACTTGGCGGAGCCAGACGATGTCTTGTCTCTGTTTACCCGTCTCATGGATTCGGAGAACTGGAAGAAGTGGAAGAAAACTAAGGTAGAGATTGCTTTATTGGCAAACAAGGCTGCTCGGTCAACATACACACACTGTTTACTGCCAGCTAATCTCCAAGATTGGAGGACTGTCCGGGCACAGAACACAACAGTATCATCATCATTATCAATGGTTGCTGCTGCTGTCTTGTTTGCACACTTGATTCTGTCCACTGATAAGGGAAAGGACTGAAAGAGAGAAAGAGAATCTTGCGCATTCGTTGTGGGCGCAGGTTCCAATTGTGCTCTACCTTTTCTCCATTATTTGTTTGTCTATTTGCTCAGTGCTCATTAAATGCCTGTTCTCAAGTGTGTCTGTCTGTCTGTCTGTCTGTGTTGATGTGCATGTTGACGGTGATGATAGCTGAGGATGATGATGATGATGATGATGA